TCTGCAGAACCTGAGCTGATGAGTGTGTGATACTGCCTTAAACACATAATGAATGCATGGTTACTCCACGAAGTAGAATTCACTCTCACTCAAAAATAATGGATCCACACTTAGAAATGTAGATAATTTCAACATCTTCATTCTTAAAGTGAGATCCCCAAAACCCACAGAGTTTGAACAACTGGATGCAGGTCAGCCAGTTGGAGGTGCAAAGAATCTACAATGCACATAGCAGAAATATTCAGACAGTCCACGGTTAAAGTCTTGATGTTCCAGTCAGGGGCGAGAGAAGCGCCCAAGCACCGCAGGCTGATGGAACGCAGGGCTCAGGGACTGAGAGCTGGAAGGGGCTGGGGAACTTGTCTGTTCTGACCCTCTCACTCTCAGGAGGAGGCAGAGTGAAGTGCTTGCCCAGCAACCCTCAGCTGGCTGGTGACACAGCATAGCTAGAACTTGGCTCTCCTGGCCTTTGCCTGGGGATCTTTCCACTTGACTAGCACTGAGACTCTTCTCAGGCAAAATTCGAGAATAGATGATGAAACAGATGGCTTGGGAGCATTTAGAAAAGAAAGCAATCATTAGCAGCCAGCATGGGTTCAGTTGGAACAGTCATGCCAGGCTAATCTCATTTCCTTGTTGATGCAGTTGCAAAAAATGTACAAGAATGCAGTACGCCAAAATGCAGGGCATCCCAACAGAATGCAGGCAAGCTCTCTTTACTCAGCTAATGGCCATAGCCAACCTAGCTCAGTCTATATACTTCTTCTTGTACCCCTGGACTAAGATCTTTTAAGAATGCTATGGTCCTCCACTTCTCTTCCTAAGACTGGGACAATCCAGGAAAAAGCCATTCTCCTTTAATAACCTTTGTACAGTTGAGATCACTGACTTTTTCCCAACTGGAGGTAGAAGATTCGTACAACTGTAGAAACTGTTTTTGTTGTGAATTCTAAATACCAGAGAGAAGAGAAGTGGACACATGTTCTCAGTGGGAAGATGGGTGATTTTCCTAGTGCTACTGGGCAGGTGGTATGCATCCCCCAAGATCTCCAGGATGGAAGATACCATATCCAGGTGGTACATGTACAGATAAACATGTCAATTTGTGGTGAAATCAAATGATTCAACTTTGGGGGACTGGGTTGTGCATAGCAGGTTAAGCTGCCACCTGTGATGCCGATATCCCATATGAGTGTCGGTTCAAGTCCCGGTTGCTCCGCTTCCAATCCAGCTCCTTGCTAATATGCCCAGAAAAACAGCTAAAGATGGCCCAAGTGTTTGGGTCCCTGCCACCCACATAAGAGACCCAGGTGGAATTCCAGGCTTCTCCTGGCTTCAGCCTAGCCAAGCCTTGGCCATTGTGGCCATTGGGGAGTGAACCAGCAGATAAAATCAATCTCTCTCTCTTTCTTTCTCTCTCTGCCTTTTCAATAAATAAAACATTTTTTTTAAAAATCACATTTTCCATTAATTATCAGGCTATGTGATATGGAAATGAGAAAGTGGATGAACTTCAAGGAGATTTTGAAAACTTTGCAATAGGAGAAGGGGTTTTAATCTCTTGAAGTCTTTGTCAGATCTCTACATGGAGCTGAGCTTACTTAATAACCTTGCCTACTGTTAGCATGCCAGAGGGCAACCAAACTCCCAGGAATACTAACAGGATACATCACGCATCTTGGTTTCTGCAATACACTGCCAAAGCTTGCATGGTCTCCTCTGCAAGCTCTGGGACCAGGCTGTGGGGCACAGCACGTCTTGAAGTTGACCACTGTGCTCTGATCCACGCTCTGTTATGTTCAATTGACGACCTGGATAAAATTATCATACTATTTGCTAATCAAAATAATAACCAAAAATCTAAGATTGATTTACAATTCTAGCAATAAAAATTATGCAAAGATAGTACAACCCCAGAAGAGAGTGGGCCCCCACTGCTACAAGTGGCAAAACAGAGGCTGGATAAAGCTTGGTGGAGACCCAGCCAAGGGAACTGAAAGCATCTAGGAGGCCATGGGGTTCAATAATCTTCTACAGTTCTTTCTGGTTGATGATTCCATTATTCTAAACTGTAGGACCCTGAAAATATCTGTAATGCTAATGCCTACAACTTATTAATGGCCGGGGCAGGGATGGCTTGTTTATCCTCCTCTCCTGTTTGTGCTCATCCAAGGTGACACACGCCATATGCGTCTCACATGCTCCAGACTTGGAGGAGACGCTCAGAGGAGACCGGCTGACGATGGGGAGCCTCTAGGTCAGAAGGCGAGAGCGGCTCCCAAGCAGATGCCAAACCTGTATTTGTGTGACAGTGTTGGCACTGCACAAAGAGACCACAGGAGAACAGGATCTGTTTAGTCTGATTCCCTAGTGTAGAGGAAATATTAAAGGTAGATACTGGGTCTAGAATACAATTCCATTATACATTGACGAAATCATAATGAGATGTTTTCCAATTATTGTAAAAAATGCATTTATTTAAAAGGCAGAGTGATGGGGGGCAGGGGGAAGAGGCAGAGATAGTGACAGCAATAGAGATAGAGATCTTCCATCCAACGATTCACTCCCCAAATGCCCACAATAGTTAGGGTTGGGCCAGGTCGAGGAGCCAGGAACTACATCCAGATCTCCCATTGGGTGGCTTAATACTCAAGCCATCACCTGCTGCCTTCCCAGGTGCATTAGCAGGAAGCTGGATCAGAAACAGAGTAATCAAGACAGAACCTGGCACTCCAATATGGGAGGGTGGCATCAAAAGTGGTGGCTTAACCCGCTGCGTCACAATGCCTGCCCCTGAATTTTTTTAAAATGGAAATCTCCAGGGCCCTTTTAAACAAATGACCTCATGGAAAATGGAATTAATATATCAATTTATTGGTGCAAAAAATGTTGAAATCCATGCATAGATTTTTGGCATAATATGCATTTATTACAAAGACCCTGAATAGCCAGAGTTCATTCTCTCTCTCTCTCTCCCTCTCCCTCTCCCTCTCCCTCTCCCTCCCTCCCTGTACCCCTACAGATCAGGAAAGGAATCCAAATATGTATGGATCCACAGATGTCCATGTGGGGTCTCAGATGGTCTCGACCACTCAGAAATTATTAAACATCTGCAATATTCCCACCATTTTCCAGTATTCAAAGTAATACCAAAAAATGGAAGATATTATCCCCACAACCTACAAGCCCCCTAGTTTGAGACAGAAGGAATGTGTGTAACTCATAGGCTGGCATCAGTTACACAGGAGTGGTGGGCCAGGAGTTGCAAGAACCAGGTTCTGTGCGGGTCCCAGGCATTCAGAGCTGTGGATTCTTACCTGAGCCTCACATTCTCCATGGATCCCATTCTCAGTGGAAATATTCTTTTTTTAATTATTTATTTATTTATTTGAAAGGCAGATTGACAAAGAGGCAGAGGGAGAGAGAAGGAGGGGGGAGAGAGAGAGAGAGAAATGAGAGAGGTGTCTTCCATCTGCTGGTTCACTCCCCAAACGGCCACCATGGCCGGAGCTGTGCCAATCTGAAGCCAGGAGCCAGGAGCTTCTTCCAGGTCTCCCATGTGGGTGCAGGGGCCCAAGCACTTGGGGCATCTTCCACTGCTTTCCCAGATACATTAGCAGGGAGCTGGATTGGAAGAGGAGCAGCCAGGACATGAATTGGTACCCATATGGGATGCTGGCACTGCAGGCAGTAGCTTGACCCACTATGCAACAGCGCTGGCCCCTGGAAATATTCTTGAAGACTGGGTCTTTAAGCCAAACCCTGCAGGATGGGAAGGATTTAGCCTTATGAAGGGGTTTTCAGGTGGACCCAGAAGCAGGTGCAGGCATCTTCAGGGAGGGCAGAATTTGGAGTTATTCTTAAGGAACTCAGAGGAGCTGGTGTGGTCGGGGAGGGAGTGGAGGATGGGACAGAGCAGTCAGACAGAGCCAGACCATGGAGGATCTTTGTCCCATGGTAAGGTTTTTCCCCCAGAGCACACAGAAAAATAATAAAGGATTTATTCAAGGCAGAGCCATGCTGGGCATTGTAACCTTTAAAGCTTGCTCACGCTGTTAATACCGAGAACAGACCACAGACGTAGCAGGAGTGGAGTGAGAAGACCACGTAGTCTGAGGCAGCTGAAGCTGTCCGGGAGAGAAAGATGGCAGTTCCAAAAAGGGCAGAGGGGAGACGTGGAGGATGGAGCCGGGTTCTAGAGAAGACCTGCAGCTCACGGCTGAGGAGTTACTTGATGGCTAATCCCACAGGGTCTGAAGATCTGCACAAACACAGACCAACATGTGTGGTCGGGGCTACCAAAGGCTACTCTGGATAGGCAGATTTGCTCAGTTCACTCCCGAATGTAAAGCGTGACACACGAAGGGAAGCAAAATAGCTTGCGGAAGGTAGAATTAGAAGATACTGCTCATGTAAGCTCCCGTGGACACACATTTGCCCACCAGGCCGGTGGAGGCTCTCACGGGTCCCCGCAGTGGGCAGGTTATGAAATCACTGATAAAAATCACTGTTCAAGTTGCTTCTCTCTGTAACCCGTGCCCACTTTGCAGTCAGCCTGGAGCCTCTCCTTTGAGGGCGAAGCTGCTTTCTCTACCTGGACAACCTCTTGAGGCTACTGGTGCTGTGCTGGTTCCACTGCCCTCCCCAGGGCAGCCTCCTACCACATCTGGGAGAGCTTGTCTAGTTCGACAGCCTCAGGACTTGGAAAAAAAAAAAAAAAGGATGCATCCATAAGGCTAAAATAGCCAAGCAGTTCCGGAAGCCCCAAATCAAGCCACTTTTATGACATGGCACAGAAAAATTAAAGGGCTTATTATCTAAGCATTTTTCAGCTGCAAGGCTGGGTCTTATTTAGATATAGCCCAAATCACTCATCTGTAAGAGCTCAGGGCTACCCTGATTCTGAAAGATGCTATATAAAACTCAGTTATTTTTCCAATGCTGCTACAGAACCAAAATAAACCATCAGCAGTCTGTACATTTATCCATACATACTGTACCTTCTCCAACTGAAGACAATTCACACGACAGATTGAATGCAATATGCTTGCCCTGAAGATGTGATTCTGCAAGCACAAGTGCTGTTGCCTAAAATAAGAAAAGACGAGGCTGTTAACCGAACAGCCGAGCCATTGCCTCCGCATTAGCACCAGGATGACTCTCCTAACCTTTCCAATTACAGCGTGATCCAATTAAGTCTCGGTGTCATCAGAAGATGTGCGCTTGAATTCTTAGATTTGGGGCAGGCTGCAGTCACAATGAAGAGCCGCAGTCTAGGGAAAGTGCATTTGGGATATTCCAGGTCTACTCGGGATCCATATTTACTCTCTAGATATCGCAAAGCGGAAAGCCGGCACAGTGGATGGAGCCGCCACCTGCAATGACAGCACCCCACATCATAGCCCTGGTTCATGGCCCTGCTGCTCCACTCCTGATGCAGCTCTCCCTGCCAATGAAGTGGAAGATGGCACAGTGCTTGGGGTCCCTGTCACCCACGTGGAAGACCCAAAGGAGCTCTGGGCTCCTGGCTTCAACTTGGACCAGCACCAGCCATTGTGGTCATTTGGGAAGTGAACAAGCAAATAGAAGTTAGATCGCTCACTCACTTGCTCTCTCTCTCTTTTTCTCTCTCTCTCTTCCCCCCACTTCCTCCTCTCTATCACCCTGCCTTTCAAATAAATACATCTTTAAATGAATAAGTCCTTCCTTCAAATTGCACAGGTACTTTTTCCTGTGAAGTCGAGAAAGATTTTTGATTAATATTATTCAAAGTTGGCAATGTATTATCAGTAACAGCACTATAATTTTCTAGTCATTTTTAAAAGATTTATTTATTAAATATTTATTTATTTATTTGAAAGTCAGGGCAACAGAGAGAGAGAGGAAGAGACAGAAACCTCCCATCCTCCAGTTCACTTCCCAAGTGGCTGAAACGGCCAGGGCTGGGCCAGGTCAAAGCCAAGAGCCAGAAGCTTCATCTGGATCTTCCAGGTGGGTGGCAGCGTTCCAAGTGCTTGGACCATCCTCCACTGCTTTTCCCATGCCATTAGCAGGGAGCTGGATCAGAAGTAGAGCAGCTGGGACTTGAACCCAGGCCCACATGGGATGCCAGCACTGCAGACAGCAGCTTTACCTGCTATGCCACAGCATTGGCCCACTCTAGTCATTTTTAAAAACAATTAGGTCATATGAATATGAAACAGCATCAAGCATCATAGTGTTCTCATAGCTTTATTCTCAACTTATGAAATTGTATCCCAAAAATATTCCTAAAATATGGAAAAATTATATGCACAAAGAACAGTAAAAAAGCAGAAGAAACCTATATATCCAACAAGAGAGAAGTGACTAAATAAGTTATACAACACTCAATCTACTATTATAAACCCTGTTAAAATTATAGTTACAAGAATATATAAAGCGATCAAAAAAACTCAACAATAGCAAAGCAAACAACCCAGTCAAGAAATGGGCAAAGGACTTAATTAGACATTTCTCAAAAAAGGAAATTCAAATGGCCTACAGACACATGTCAAAATGCTCAGGATCATTAGCCTCAGGTAGATGCAAATCAAAACCACAATGAGGTTTCACCTCACCCCAGTTAGAATGGCTCACATACAGAAATCAACAAACAACAAATGCTGGCAATGATGTGGGAGAAAAGGTACCCTAATTCACTGTTGGTGGGAATGCAAACCGGTAAAGCCACTATGGAAGACAGTTGGAGATACCTCAGAAATCTAAATATAGCCCTACCACATGACCCAGCCATCCCACTCCTGGGAATTTACCCAAAGGAAATGAAATCAGTAAAATAAGAGTCATCTGCACCCCCATGTTTATTGCAGCTCAATTCACAATAGCCAAGACCTGGAATCAACCTAAATGTCCATCAACAGAAGACTGGATAAAGAAACTATGGGATATGTACTCTACGGAATACTACACAGCAGTTAAAAATGAAATCCAGTCATTTACAGCTAAGTGGATGAATCTGGAAAATATCATACTTAGTGAAATAAGCCAGTCCCAAAGGGACAAATATCATATGTTCTCCCTGATCTGTGACAACTAACAGAGCACCTAAAAGGAAACCTGTAGAAGTGAAACAGACACTATGAGAAGTAATTACTTGAACAGCCTTGTCTTGACTGTTGAGAAACTATTTATTATTTCATTTTATTTTATTTTTTATTCTTTTTTCTTCTCTACTTAATACCACTGTCTGAACTCTTACTTAACATAGAATTAATCATGGATATATTAAGTAAATTGAAAATAGATCCCAGTTAAAAATAAGAGTGGGAATGAGAGAGGGAGGAACTGTATAGATCAGCACACATTCCCACAGACTTACCCCTAAGGGTGAAACTAAAAACTTTCCATGGGAGTCCAAATCCCATTTAGCTGGGTTGCACTAATCCCATCTGTGATAAATTGATCATATTAAGTATGGAATTAATCATATAGATAGGACCATCAGTCAAAGGGATCACATAAATAAGACCAAGTGCCTGGTAATAACAATAGGTAGAATCACAAAGGAGAGAAAGTTCCAACATGGGAAGTGGGCCACACAGCAGACTCACAGAATGACAAACACCCTAAAGAGCACTCTGACCTCAGAATCAGCCCCTAAGGCCTGACTGAAAACACCATGAGAGCATTTCAGGCATGGAAAGCCAAGAAACAGTGGCAAAAATGGTTCTGCATGAAAGATCTCTGTGAGTGAGACCCCAGTGGAAAGAAGGGGCCATCAAAGAAGGATGTACTTTTCTCTGAAGGGAGAAGAGAACTTCCACTTTGCATATGGTCCTGTCTAAAAACCGACAGAGTTTGTGAATTCAAAAGGCTTCCATAGCCTTGGCAACTCATATCAAGAGCCTTGGGTGATCACTTACATCATAAATAAGAGTGTCAGTTGTTAAATCAACAATAGGAGTCACTGTGCACTTGCTCCCCATTCTGTACCTCTGTCCTTAATGAGTTGTACTATGAGAATTAATGATAAAACTTGTACTATGAGAATTAATGATAAAACTTGTCTTCAAACTGTCCTTTATACTTTGTGTGTCTGTTTGGGTACAAATAGTTGAAAACTCTATATAGTATAGAGTTGGTCTTCTGTATATAAAGTCAATTAACAAATCTTAATGGAAAATGGAATGGGGAAGGGAGTGGGAGGTGGGATGGGAGTGGGAGTTGGGAGGGCAGGAATGGAGGAAGAAGCACTATATTCCTAAAAGCTGCACATATGAAATTTATATTCATTAAATAAAAACCTTCAAAAATGAAGGCAAAAAATTATGGTTATGAAGACCATTTAACAGTGTAAATGATGGGACCAGCACTGTGGCACAGCAGGTTAAAGCCCTGGCTTGAAACGCCAGCATACCATATGGGTGCCGGTTCTAGTTCCAGCTGCTCCTCTTCCAATCCAGCTCTCCGATGGCCTGGGAGAGCAGTGGAAAACAGCCCAAGTCCTTGGGCCCCTGCACCCAAGTGGGAGACCTGGAAGAAGCTCCTGGCTCCTGGCTTCAGATTGGCGTAGCTCCGGCTGTTGTGGCCATCTGGGGAGTGAACCAGTGGATGGAAGACCTCTCTCTCTGCCTCTACCTCTCTCTGTAACTCTGTCTTTCAAATAAATAAAATAAATCTTTTAAAGAAAACAGTATAAATGATGCTTATGATATGTCAAATGATGAATCAAGCCTTATAATTATTTTCACAAATGACTAGCAAAACACAAGAAGAAAATGCCATCATTTGTAGGGTTGACTGTCTAGGTTAGAGTTATTAATCAGTGAGACAACAGTAGACAAACTGTGTGTGCACAGACTTTTCCAAGATCTTGGGTGTATTATTTAGATGCATATTATTAGAAAGACAGATCCACTTGTAGTAGTATGGGATAAGGGGTTTATTGGAGGGGGTTGTTGGAGGATTTTATAGAATTAGGAATGCTGGTGGCAGAGTCTCTGCAATGCTGTTGACTCCATACATGGTGTTGAACCTGAAGTCACTATAGAATACCCAGACCAGGGGCAGGTGTTGGGCCAGTGATTAAGTCACCACTTGCAGCACCTACACCCCACATTAGAATGTCCGGGTGAGTTCTGGCCCCTCTGCTTCCAATTCCAGCTCCCTGCTAATGCGTACCCTGAGAGGTAGCAGGCGATGGTTCCAGTACATGGAACCCTGTCACCCACTTGGGAGACCTGGATGGAGTTCTTAGCTCCTGGCTTCAACCTGACCCATGTTGTGGACATTTGGAGAGTGAAGCAACAGATGGGAGATCTCTCTCTCTTTCTACTCTCTGCCTTTCAAATAGAACAAAAATAGATTAAACACAAGTATCAGCCAAACCAGCCACTGGGGCAAAGTTAAGGAGACAGGAGCAAAGACAAACCAAAGCCTGAGGAGGAACAGAATACTAATCCCCTTGGATTGTGTTTTCTGTCATTTGTGGTCTGATGAGTTTGAACTGATTTTATTCTCAGCATTGTAGCTATGAAATATATGAAATCTTAAAAACTAAAAAAATTAAAATTAAAAAAAATTTGGATTGGCCTTGGCTTTGGGCTGAGATGGACTGTTCTATGGAGACCCAGCCCTGGCCTATCTAGTAATCGATGCCAGGCAGTTGGGTGATTGACAGCTCACGTCAGTGACCAAACGGCAGGATGTGGGATAAACTGGGGAAAGCAAAAGGGGTCAGTGACTGCGAGGCCTTGGGGAGAAAACACGAATGGAGAAGTCGCCAGGTGGCCTTGAGGGCCTAGGAGGGAGACTGCCCATGTCCACTGAGGAGCTGGGAGCGAGCTGCATGGAACACAAAGAGACCCTCCAAATACCCCCTCCCCTGCACACTCTGTGTGGGCCATTCTCTGACAAGGTAGGATGCAAACTTCAGCCACCATGAGGTGCTGTTTTGTGGATTCTTCTAGACTGTCTGCTTCTGGCCCACTGGGGTAGGCATGGTACTGGGGACACACGTTGGGAACACTGCTCAGGCTGGTACCTGAGGCAGGGTCCACACCTCCACTTTACATTTGTGTGAAAGTTTCCAGAAATAGAAACCAAGAAAACAAGGGAAAATTCTTGTTAAACCCAAGACTTGTGCCTGTAACACACTCCTATCCTACTGAAAATGACTGGTGACCAGAACTTTGTGGACATCACACATGACTCTTTGTACAATTTTTTTCTCTATGCCAAATACAGTTAATGGCAATGACCTATTCCTACTCCTATATCCTTTTTAAAAGGTTTGTTTATTTATTTATTTGAAAGGCAGAGATACAAAGAGAGAGGCAGAGAGAAAAAGACTTTCCATCCACTGGCTCAATCTCCAAATGGCTGCAATGGCCGGAGCTGGGCCAATCCAAAGCTAGGAGCCAGGAGCTTTTTCTGGGGCTCCCATGTGGGTGCAGGGGCCCAAGTAGTTGGGCCATCTTCCACTGCCTTCCCAGGCCATTAGCAGAGAACTAGATTGGAAGTGGAGCAGCCAGGACTTGAACCAGCACCCATATGGGATGCCAGGGTCTCAGGCAGCAGCTTTTACTCACTATGCCACAACCGTGGCCTTTATTCCTATATCTTGAAAATAGTAATGTGATCACTCCTCCCCTTCAGGGGCTTCCTTTTTTGTTCTTGTTTGGTTTTTTAAAAAGACTTATCTATTTGAAAGGCAGAGTTACATAGACAGAGATAAGGAGAGACAGAAAGAGAGATCTTCCATCCACTGGTTCACTCCCCAAATGGCCATAATGGCTGGAGCTGGGCAGATCCCAAGCCAGGAGCCAGGAGCCCCTTTAGGGTCTCCACCTGGGTGCAGGGGACCATGTACATGGGCCATCCTCAGCTGCTTTCCCAGGCATATTAGCAGAGAGCTAGATCAGAAGTGGAGCAGCCAGGACTCCAACAAGTGCTCGTATGGGAGGTGGGCACTGCAGGTGGCAGCTGAACCCGCTATGCCAAAGCACGGGCCCCCAGGGACTCCCTCTCATTCCACCGCCCAGCCAGCGTATTCCTGTCTAGCAAGGCTAGTCGCAGACTGATTTCTCTCCAGCCTCTCAGGACGAAGCACAGTTTGCAGGTAAAATCCAGCCTGGGGCTCACATGGGCTCACAAGTTCTCTCTCCAGGTTTCACGTTATCTTGTTTCAGATAAATAATAAAATGACACATTAAAACGAGAGAGAAAGAGGAAGGGAGTGAGGACTCAGGCCCAGTCCACAACAGCGGTGGAGAAGTGCGCTGCCACGGGGGAAGGATGGCACCCATATCCTGAGCAGCGGAGCTGTGTTGGAGTCGCAGCTCCTGGGCTTCCCCCACAGAAAAGGAGACTTGACTGCTCTCGCCCACACTCTCCCTCTGTGGCTTCTCAGAACGGGTGCTGCTGGAGCAGAGTCACCTCCCCACCAGCCGTCTTGGGTTCCCCGTGCATTGGCCTCCTTGAAGATGTGTGGAGGACAATCCTCCCTGCGACCCAGTGTGGTCCACAGCACCGATCAGCATGGGTCCCCCAACCCAGCAGCCACGCGTGTCTTCACAGGTGTGTATGTGTGTGTGTGCAGGTGCAGGAATAAAAATCAAGTGGCCGGGACTGCGGGCTGCTGCCACCTCTGCTTCCTGTGTTTCCAGGGAAGTGAGCGCCCTTCTGAACACAGGAACCCTGAGTTCAGACACAGGGTCCTCTGGGCCCTCGGTGAAGGGGGACACCTCTCAGCTTTGATGCTGGCTCAGCGGCTCACGGAGGAAGAAGCTACTTGGGACCCAAGAGCCATGCGGCATTCATCGGGTTTGTCCTCACATCCTAATTTTTATTAAAGGGACAATGAGATTTCAATACAGTAAGCTTAGAGCTGATGAACAACGAAGTTAAAATTACACAGACTCTGGACTGCCTTGAAGAATAGCTGGGCTGGTGACTTCTGTTTGCTCTGCCTTATGACCTTCTTTTTTAAGATGTATTTATTTCTTGAAAGGCAGGGTTACAGAAAGGGGGGGGGGACACAGAGAGAGAGAGAGAGAGAGAGATCTTCCATCTGCTGGTTCACTCCTCGAATGACACAATGGCCAGGGCTGGGTCAGGCTGAAGCCAGGAGCCAGGAGCTACATGTGGGTCTCCCACATGGGTGGCAGCCACTGCTTTCAGGCCCATCAGCAGGGAGCTGGATGGGAAGAGGAGCAGACAGGACGCACACACCAGTGCCCACATG